AACTGGGTATCACATATCACCAATGAATATTAATTTTAAACTTAGGGCTAAAGGGTATGGCTTTTGCTTTTAGCATTACAATGCTTTATTTTCTTAGCTGAATCTTTCATATAAATGGATGAATACACTATTTTTTTGTATTTTTTCAAATGATTAAAATTATAGTTGACCCTTTAACATGCTGGTTGGCATCACTGAACCCTTCACACACAGTCAAAAATCCATGTGTAATTTTGATACCCCTAAAACTTAACTACTGCTAACAAGAAGCCTGACTGATAACTTAAATAGTTAACACATATTTTGTATATTATGTATTGTATTCTTACAATATATGCATTACATACTGTAAACTAGAGAAAAGAAAATGTTAATACAAAACGATAAGAAAGAGAAAATATACGTATATATATGAATATATTCATCAAATGTAAGTGGATCACCATAAAAGACTTCATCCTTGTCATCTTCATGTTAAGTAGGCTGAGGAGGAGGAGAAAGAGGAGGGTTTGTCTTGCTGTCTCAGGAGTGGTAGAGTTAGATAAGGTGGTGGAGGTAGAAGGGGAGGCAGTAGAGGCAGGCACAGTTGGGGTAACATTATAGAAATTCATCATAATATCTGACTCTTTACTTTTTCATTTCTCTGGAAAATATTTCTATACAGTACTAATCTTTCCACCATTTGCTTTAGTTTCATATCATTCAAGGATCCATGTTGTAAAAGAAGATAAAAACAGTCTTGAAGTATCAGAACCCTTCTGGTAGATTGTCTAATAGCAACTTGTTTTCTGGCACCGCTTCTTCCATGTCTTCTTTTTTATTATTTGGCACTACTTTGGAAGCACACATCTCCAGCAGGTCTTCTTCTGTCAATTCCTCCAGTGTGGTGTCTGTTAGCTCTTGAATGTCTCCAAGATTCATATGTAGAAACATTTCTATGCACATTTTTTTATGGTTAAAATTTATTTTTATTTTTACTATACTTTAAGTTCTGGGATACATATGCAGAATGTTCAGGTTTGTTACATAGGTATACATGTGCCATGGTGGTTCACTGCACCTATCAATCCGTCATCTACATTAGGTATTTTTCCTAATGTTATCCTTCCTCTATCCTGCAACAGGCCCCAGTGTGTGATGTTCACCTCCCTGTGTCCATGTGTTCGCACTGTTCAGCTACCATTTATGAGTGAGAACATGTGGTGTTTGGTTTTCTGTTCCTGTGTTAGTTTGCTGAGAATGATGGTTTCCAGCTTTACCCATGTCCCTGCAAAGGACATGAACTCATTCCTTTTTATGGCTGCATAGTATTCCATGCTGTATATGTACCACATTTTCTTTATCCAGTCTATCCTTGATGGACATTTGAGTTGGTTCCAAGTCTTTGCCATTGTGAATAGTGCTGCAATAAACATATGTGTGCATGTGTCTTTATAGTAGAATGATTTATAATCCTTTGGGTATATATCCAGTAATGAGATTGTTGGGTCAAATGGTATCTCTATTTCTAAATCCTTGAGGAATCACCACAGTGTCTTCCACAATGGTTGAACCAATTTACACTCCCACCGATAGTGCAAAAGCAATCCTATTTCTCAACATCTTCTCCAGCATCTGTTGTTTACAGATTTTTTAAATGATCACCATTCTAACTGCTGTGAGGTGGTATCTCAATGTGGTTTTGATTTGCATTTCTCTAATGATCAGTGATAATGAGCTTTTTTTCATATGTTTGTTGGCTGAATAAATGTCTTCTTTTGAGAAGCGTCTATCCAAATCTTTCACCCACTTTTTGATGGGGTTGTTTTTTCTGGTAAATTTGTTTAATTTCCTTGTAGGTTCTGGATATTAGCCCTTTGTCATATGGGTAGATTGCAATTTTTTTCTCCTATTCTCTAGGTTGTCTGTCTACTCTGATCATAGTTTCTTTTGCTCTGCAAAAGCTCTTTAGTTTAATTAGATCCTATTTGTCAATTTTGCAGCAAATGCAATGGCAACAAAAATCTTTTTTTTTTTTGCCATAGCCACAATCTCAACCATATTTTCCTTGATTAGCTCTGTCGTAAATTCTGTGAAATTAGGCACAACATAGTCTTCTCTGGCAGAAATTTATTGTTTTTGATTTGATGGCTTTCATGGCTTTTTCTATAACAATGATACCATCCTCAAAGGGGTAATTCTTCCAGACTTTTATGATGTTCTCTGTATTGCAGGTCTCTTCCATAGCATTGACAATCCTTTTTATAGAGTACTGTGTGTGAAGAGTTAAAGGTCCATATGACTTGTAATCTAGCTGAAGAATTAGAGACATTGTGTTTGGGGACAAGTAGGCCACTCTGGCATCTTCAGTGTTGAACTGATTAGGTTCTGGATGGCTTGAGGCATTGTACAATATCAAAAGAATTTTAAAATGCAGTCCTTCACTGGCAAGGTACTTCCTGACTTCAGGGACAAAGCATCAATGAAATTAATTCAGAAAAAGTATTCTTATGCAGGCATTACTTTTTACAAACAAAAGACTGGCAGCTTTATCTTTTTCCTTCAAGGCTCAGAGGTTAAGAGCTTTATAGGTAGCAGCAGTACTGATCATATACCTGACTATATATGCACAAAACAGTAGGAGTAGCCAACTGCTTCCTTCCCGAATCCTAGTGCTAACTTATCTTCCTTACTACTACATGTCCTCTGTGGCATTTTATTCCCCAGTCCAGGGCATTTTTGTCCATATTAAATATCTATTCAGGCAGAAGTCCTTTCTCCTCAATAATTTTCTTCATGGCATCTTGGAATTCATCTACTGCCTCTTGGTCAAAAACAACCTACTTATTCTGTTACTCTAACATGTTGAAAACCAAACCGCCTCCTAAAATTATCAAACCATCCTTTGCTGGCATTAAATTCTCCAGCTTTATATCCTTCACTTTCCTTTTGCTTTACATTGTTATATATGTCATATATTGACTTCTCTTTTTCTAGAATCACATTAATGTCTACCTATAAAAATGCCTTTCTTGTAGTAATCCTGCACCCACAATAAATACTGCAGTTTCCGTACAAAATAAAAAGATGTTTTGTAAAAAGTGTAGAGTTTTCACATCTCCTCCTGTAGATGCAGCAAGGGCTTCTTGGGTTTCCTTTTCTTTTTTACCAAGGGTTCTAATGCTGGATTCATTTACTTTGAAAGGGTGGGCAACTGCAGCATCAGACCTCAGTCTATGATACACATCCAGCAATTCAACTTTTTCTTGTAATTTCATGACTTTTCTCTGCTTCTTGGGAGCACTTTTAGCATGAGTGGCACTACATATGGTCCCAGAATGCTTGTCTAAGTTTATGGTATTGTACTAAACAAAATAAAAAATGCACAAGAATCCTAAAGAATTACTTTTTACTGTAAATACTTAATTTACTGAGGAGACAAACTACTCATGCAGAGATAGCTAATGTCACAGGGTGTTTTAGGCAGACACTTGCAAAACTTAAACTCACCATATAGCAACAGGAGGTGGTTATACAGCAGTAGTATGGTATGTATTATAGTATACATTTAATGCAGTTGTAATTTAATAGTGCATCTTCATATTTGTTTACATCTCTCAGCTGGAAATGTATAGTCTGTAAATATCTGTGTAAGTTTTGATCAACATTAACTTTTTGTAATAAATTTGTGTATATTTTATGATAGTAAATTATAAAATAGACTAATATCTACATATATTTTATAAACTCATGACATGGCTAAATTTTTCCTAACTTTTAGGTATTTCTAGGTCACATGATTCATCTGTGAGTTATTCCAAATTGTTAAAAACTCCAAAAATGTTTCCAATATATTTATTGAAAAAAAATTTCATGTAAGTGGACCCAGGTAGTTCAAACCCCTGTTTTTCAAAGGCCAATGGCACACTACTCATGGTCCAGAATTATTGCCCTTTATGCATGTTTTTGCTCAAACAGGTATGGGAGAACAGAACTCTTTACTGATACCTCTTGAAGCATGGAAGTTAATTAATGATAATGAATGACTTATAAAAATTAATGTCCAGTCTTTATAATGCAGATAGTCAAAGATATATCCAAATTCAGTGACAATTTAAAATTAAACCTAGATGTCAAAGTCAGTGTTTTTGAAAGGAAATATAACACCCTGCTACCCTTTACATATTCCAGGTTGGTAAACTAAATGTATCAGCAGACATTATTTATAATGCAGTAGAAAGATGTGGACTAAGTTTACACTAAGTGCTTCTAAGAATGAAATTTATGAGGGCAACAAGACTGAAGGAAACACTTTCAAAAATATCATTTTCTTTAAAATATAAAACTAATAAAAGATGTGAAATACTCTATAATTCAAAATAAAACAAATCTTTCTGTAAATATGATTATTCATCATGGATGTACATTAACATAATTAACAACAGATTAACTAAAATTATTAGAATATTATGACACACCTAAATACATTATGTGAGGTAAACTGATGGACATTTCCTACTACTTTTCTTATACCAGGTATGCCATTTGGTGAGGCAACTTGTCAATGATAACGTAAATTTCATCCTAAAAGAAATTTCAACTGAATCTAACCTCTTTATTGAACAATCAAACAAACAAACATACAAACAAACTGGAGTCTTGAGGGATTTAGTGACTCTCTGAAAAACATACGATAAAGAGAACAAAATTTGCTTTTTGTCAAGTTATTATAAGACAAACTAATGTAGCAAATCACCTATCATAAGTAAATTCATTTTTAAGATTATATGCAGACTCTCAAAGTGTCTATCTTGTAGATCCATATAGGTATGTATTCACTTTCAGACTTTGCCTATCAGGCTATTAGGTCTTAGGCATTACCCCTACGTTACTGAGACTTCATAGACTAAATATATCATGTATTTATAATGAGGATCACTAGAGATGTGAGAATTAGGGATTGTAAAGCAAAGTGCCAGTAGTATCTGGTACATAGTTATAGGTCAATAGTAATCTTGGAAAATCTACTATTTAAAGTAAGGATGAAGACGTTCATCAAACGTAAGTTCTTGCTTTACTTTATATCTTCCTGGTTTCTTCTGTACTATTTTCTGGTCACATGTTGTATTCCTTTCATCTTATACATCCACTTCACAGGTCATGTTGTTATTTACCTTCTTTTCCATATTTCAGTGGCCTCTTCTCACTGTATTTTTATTTGCTATTAGGGATAAAATATGCAAAGTGTATAAATAATATGGAGCTGTATGTATTCTAAGTTTAAAGGTTTTTGTTAACAGCTGCTAAGAGCCACATCTAACTTAGGATAATGTATATTGTTGGAACCATACAGTCTGTAAGAAGACTAAAATTCTCTTAGTTTTCAAATGATATTATTACATATTATTATTAATAGTAACTCTTGGGTATGAAAGAATAAATTTGAGTGCTAACACATATTCCTGAGTTCCGTATAAATTTAATCTTATTAGTTCTGAAAATATTAAAGAACATGCCATAAGGGAAATATGAGGATAATCACATCCTGACAGCTTCTTGCTGGGCTTGTTTCCTGCTCAAGAAGACCTAATCAGCGTTTGTTAAGTAAAATGCACAGCAGTAGTGCAAGGATTCAGTAACATGTATGCACCATGAACATATATAACATATTATGGAATACTGCCCTTTTGATCAGAATTTGGAGAACAGTGCTTGGTACTTTGTCATCTACTGCCACTGTGAAGACATGAGAAAGCTGCTATAGCTTCTTCTCAAACTTCTGTGACTCATATCTTCAGTGCTAATGCTTTGTGGACATCCTTGAGGGCTATGGCAGCAACAATGGGCTTTGTGGCAGTCCTGGTGACTATAGCAGTTTATCAGGGTCATATACAATTTTAGCGAAACCTTATTAGTAATTATAACACTAGTAGTTTGTGTGTATTAAACTATTATGATTTAAGGACTGTGCCAAACCATATAATTCATCTGATGTAACCTCAGTACAAATGTACAAAACAGGTCAGTCATATTATTATCACCATTTTACAAAATTGAAAGGTGACTATGATTAACTTCATTAAATTCTGAGAGCTAGTAGTGGCAAAAACAGGATAAGGCCTAAGTATTACAAAATCCTAAACTCTTGGCCACTGCACTTGCCTGCTTCTGCCCAATTTGTCTTAACTTTATTATATTTTAATCAATATTTTTCTAAGCCAGGTGATAACTGGCTCAGGAACTCTACATTACACTTGATGTTTGGTCTGGGACATCCTTTGTGAAATTGATTCCTGTCTGTTCTGTAGGATTAGCTACTGAAAAGTTTCATCATTTAGAATACAATAGACTTATTTATTAATTTCTGTGTCTGAGGCTTCTGTCTAAAATCATTTTCAAAGTTGGAAAAGATTTTAAATTTTCCAAGATTTGAGGATATGATGAAATATACTTTATTTGAGCAAAGACTACACTATAATTTTCTCCACATGCTTGAAAGGCATAATAGATGCAGATAGAACAGAAATCAAAGGAGCATCAGAGTAGAAAAACTAGTGGCAAGCAAAAATTCAGCTTCAGTAAATGAATAGTTGATTCATCAGACTTTTTCTTTGAAGTTTGATCTAAAGGAATAACAACAAAAAGAGATGTGGAGGGAGAAAAAAGATTGCTTTAACAAGAGCAAAACTAAATCTAAATTAGGTAATTTTCTCTTTTTTAAACACCCAAAGAAGCCAACTTCAGGATGGAAGTATAGTTATGCAACAGGACTACTTCCAAGAGCTTAAATGAGAATAGAGGAAAACCCCACTTTTAAAATAAGCTGATATCAAAGGAAGTGTCCCTTGATTCAGTCATGACACCAATGTGATCAGATGCTCTGATCACTACAGCACTCCAAGGCAAACCCATTTGACATTTCCTTTAGAAATACAGAGTGATGTTTGGAATTATTTAGAAGAAACAGCCTCATTTGAAAATTGTAGGTCTGTCCTGGTTGTGTGAAGAATGTTAATCATGCCCATTTGGGAAACTTTACTAACACGATACATATAAATGAAATTTAGTTAACTGAATTTTCTGAATACTTGGGACAGGCAAAAACTTTCAAACCACCTGGGGCTTGCTTAGCTTGAACATGAAAGCAAAAGGAAGCTGGTTGTATATATTCCATTTATTTATCAAATATTTACTGAGCTCTGTAATTGACAATATATGAATGGTTTAAGGGAGTAGCCCCAGAGTTTTAAAGGATAAATAAGAGTTTTCCAGAAATATAAAGGTAAGTCAGAATTATAGGAAGAGGTAAGAGCAGATAAAGTGTGTGGAGAAATAATCAAGTGTCCAACTATTACCTGAGGTTCCTGAATCACCTACACTGAAATTACCCCAAGCGTTTATTAAAAACGTGGTTACCATGCCCTGTCCCATGCCAGCTGAATCAAAATCAATGATAGTAGCAAGCATTTTTAATAGGCATACCTTGGCTGCTTTTGTAAACATTAAGATTTGAGAATTGTTGCTGTTTGTAATAGAAGCATATGCATTCAAGCAATAAAATTTCACAATTTGTTTTACATTTACAAAGGATACACTAGTGGCCTATGAATAGTTAAGAGAAAATTGCAGGTGACAAAAGAGACCCATTTCAAAGACTGAAGCATGGATCCTAACTTTCTTTCTCTTTCCAACCTACTTCATTCTGGCTTTTTCCTTACTCAGGTCACCAAGGACCTTTAGGCTGCCAAATCATTCATTCTCAACCTGAATCTCAGCAGCACTTGAAAACATTGCCCTACTCTAAAACACCGAATTTTCTTGGCTCTCAGAAAACAACTTAGTATACATTTTTTTCAGCCTCCTCTTCTTTTACTTTACTGAATCCTTCAGAACATTGAACTCTTTTCCTCATATACTTAATTTTTGAAACAGTAGCTTTACATGATTAACCATATGATCAGATGTTCACGCATCTATCTCTAGGCCCTCCCTTGCTCTTCTGCTTTACACTTGTACATTCAAATATCTACTCAAAATCTCCACTTTAAAGCCTGTTGGTGTCAGGCATAGTGGCTCATGCCTGTAACCCCAGCACTTTGGGAGGCCAAGCAGGGGATCACTTGAGGCAAGGAGTTTGAGACCAGCCTGGCCAACATGGCAAAACCTTGTCTCTATTAAAAATACAAAAAAAAAAAAAAAAAAAAAAAGCCAGTCATGGTGGCACTTGCCTATAATCCTAGTTACTTAGGAGGCTGAGGCACAAGAATCCCTTGAACCCAGGAGGCAGAGATTGCAGTGAGCAAAGATCATGCCACTGCATGTTAGCCTGGGTGACAGAGTAAGACCTTGTCTCAATAAATAAATAAATACATAATTATGAACAAATAAATAAATAAAGTCTATTGGAAATTTCTAATGTTTTATGTATAAAAGGGGATCCTGGTGGCAGATCCAAGATGGCTGAATAGGAACAGCTCTGCATTTCCAAACCAGTTCCAGTCTCCCACAGACCAGGGGATTCCTGGGCTGAAAAGCGCCACAAGTTTCAAGTGTGGCCATTTCAGTTGGCACAGTGGGTCTCCACACAAAAACTCAGAAAAATCTGGGCAGCTGTTTCAAGTGGAGCCTGGAATGCCTGGGAGACAGAGCTGCCCATTCCACTGAAAAAAAGGGGACTGAAACACGGAGCCAGGTAGTCTGGTTCAGCAGGTCCCACCCCCACAAAGACCAGCAATCTGAAATGCTGTGGACTGAGAGTTTCACAGCAAGTACAGCTGGAACTGGGAAGGTCCAGCACTGTGGAGGGAAAGGCGTCCGCCATTACTGAGGCAGTCCAACACTACTGAGGGACTCTGCCATCATAAAGGCAGTCCACCATTACCAAGGCAGTCCCTTATTATCAAGGCAGTCTGCCATTACCAAGGCCATCTGCCATTACTGAGGCAGTCTGTCATTATAGAGGTAGTCTGCCATTACCAAGGCAAACCTCCATTACCAAGGCAGTTCTAACTATACCACTATAAACAAAACCGCAAGGAAGTTCACACAGTAGCCAGGCAGAGCCCACAGCAGCTCAGCAATGCCTCTGCTAGCAGAATGTGACTAGGCTACTTCCTATGTGGGCAGGGCATCTCTGAAAAAAAGTAGCAACACAACAGGAACTTAAAAATAAAGCCCTACTTTACCAGGACAGAGCACCTAGGAAAAAAGGCAGTTATGATTTCTGCTGCAGCAGACTTAAATGTACCAGCCCAGCAGTTCTGAACAAAACAACGGAGCTCACAGCTCAGCACATGAGCTCCTATAAGGGGTCAGACTATCTCAAGCAGCAAACTGATGCCTGTATATCTAAAGAGACACCTAATAAAGGGAGCTTAGACTGACATCTGGCACATATCCTTCTGGGATGAAGATAACAGAAGAAGAAACTGGCAGCATCCCTTACTGTGCTGCAGCCACTGCAGGTGATCCTCAAGCCAGCAGGGTCTGGAGTGGAGCTCCAGCAGTCCTACAGCAGAAGCACCTGACTATTAAAAGGAAAACTAAAAAGCAGAAAGAAATAACTTCATCATCAATAAAAAGGACATCCACTCAGAGACTCCATCTGAAAGTCATCAACTACAAAGACCACAGGTAGAGATAAATCTATAAAGATAGGAAGAAACCAGCACAAAAAGGATGAAAACACCCAAAACCAGAATGCTTCTCCTCCTCCAAGGGATCACAACTCACCACCAGCAAAGGAACAAAGCTGGATAGAGAATGAGTCTGATGAATTGACATAAACAGGCTTCAGAAGGTGGGTAATAACAAACTTGTCTGTGCTAAAAGAACATATTCTAACCCAATGCAAAGAAACTAAGAACATTGAAAAAAATTTTGACGAAATGCTAACAAGAATAAACAGCTTAGAAAAGAATATAAATGACTTAATGGAGCTGAAAAACACAACACGAGAATTTCTCAAAGCATAAACAAGTTTCAGTAGCCAAACTGACCAAGCAGAAGAAAGGATATCAGAGATTGAAAATCAAGTGAATCAAATAAAATGAGAAGGCAAGATTAGGGAAAAAAGAGTGAAAAGAAATGAATAAAGCCTCTAAGAAATATGGGATTATGTGAAAAGACCTAATTTACATTTGATAGGTATATCTGAATGTAACAGAGAGAATGAATCCAAGCTGGAAAATATTCTTCAGGATATTATCCAGGAGAACTTCC